CACACATACTGTGGGCAGTTTTGATCGACAACCAGTCAATCACACATGCTTATTAAAATTGTTAAGCTACTCATTTGGTTTTTTCAAGTAGGAAGAAATTATAATAAAACTGGGAAAGAAAAATGGTAAACTATAGAGATGTGATTGGAACTAGAAAAAAGTCAAAAATACTATTTCTTTTATGGTAACAAACTATTTCTATTTATGTTCTGAAATCAATTATAACTTCAAACTCCTAATTCAGAGTATATGATTTACGGAGTATTTAAATAACTGAATAATATTTAAATTTTTATTTTTAAAGAGAAAGACAAGCAGAAAGGAATAATTGTCGTTGGATTGTCTTTCCGTTCTCTAGGGGTTCCCGTCATCCAAATATGCCTTAAGTAGGAAAATATATATGATAACTGCAAGGAAATCAAAATTTGGAAAGTACAGCAATACAATGTCAAAACATTTACATAAACTACGGAGTATTACGGAATACTACTATTTAAACTAATTTTATTTATTTATCTAAATTCTTATTTCCCATTGGAGTTCAAAAATATCTTATATCCCATTAAACAGAAAATCAAAACACATGAAGAAAAGTAAGAAATCAACAACTTTTGTTGATGATTTAAACTCCAAAGTTTACTTTTGCATTTTCGAAATACTGTCAAAAACAACAAAATAAATTGCCTCGTCATAAATATTTTTGGGGTGTTATGATATACTACAGTACAACGTAATTTACTAAAAAAAATGTCACCATCCGTGACACTCCGTATTTTCGTTCTTTAATTTAGTTTTTGGTTAAAGTATTTTTTGAAATTACGACTTTCTTTATATTTCCATCAAATTCAATTTTCTCAAGATCCAAGAAAAAGATTTCGTTTTCATTTGCAGTATGGAAGTAACCTGACCTCTGCACAATAAATACATAGGAACAAAGAAACCCAATTCTGATCTAAATGACTACAACCCAAAACCTTGATCTTTTCCCCAAGATTAAATTTAAAGAAAAAATGAAGCAAGAATTGCCTATGAGCTCAAAGATTGAATCTTTAGCAAAGAAACTGAGGAATCTGAACCAACCAAAGAAGGGTAAACAGTTTGATAAAATAAAAAAATACAGAAAAAAGGAAATGAGTAAAACCCTAATTAAGGACATAACAACTTTAGTTTCTGTCATTTTCAGCAGCCAAATAGAAGGCAGCAAAATACATGGGCAGATCCAAAACCTTGAAACTTGTTTTCCCAGGAATGAAACATGAAAGCCAATCAAAACAATTGGCAAAACTAAAAAGCAATATTTTTAAAGACAATTAAACAGATTGAATATTCTTAAAGATAGAGAGAGAAAGGAAGTAAAAGTGGGGTGAGCAAGGCTGAAAAGATGGTTTACCAGAGCAAAAAAGGACGGTGGCCGGCGAGATTCCGGTGGGTTTTCCGGCGATGGGGGAAAAAGGACAATGATTGTGAAGTGAAGAGAGGGAATGGAGTGATAATGGATAATAGGCCTTCAATTCTCTCTCAGTCACAGCTTTTTAACGTGTAGTAAAACCCGGCGGGAACGTGAATAGCAAGGCGACGTTCATCCGTACATTTCTTCTATTCATTTCTTTAATGTATTTCAAAGTACAAAATATATAAATCAAAATATTCTATTCATGTCTCGAGATAGACTTTCAGTTTTACTCAGACTTTTTACTTTCTTTTGCAATTACGACGTCTGCTTATTACGTAACACTACGTATTGCATCATTAGGGAGTCTTTAAAGTTTGACCCCAACACAAAGTGCCTACCTTGCATTGTCTCACTTTAAAAAAATTTGATGAAAAAGTTATACTCCCTCCATCCCAAAAATTGACAATGATAAAATAAATTTTATTTTGCTGTAGAGTGCATTGTTTAAATACTGTTTGACACTGTTTGGCACTGTTTTGATGTAAATAATTTGCCAAATAAAAAAGTATTGAAATGTGAAATTAATTTTGGGACATCCATTTAAGGAAAGTGGAAGTTGTTTTTGGGACAGAGGGAGTACATTGTATTGGGGCAAACTTATTATTTTATCCCTTATTTTAATAAGGGCAAACTTTGGAGACCCCAAACTTTGAGCCGGTTTGGTGATCATATTTTTCGACTTATCAAATTTATTTGTTAATTCTTTTATCAAATACGTAATTTTTTATTTCACGCGTTAAATAATATAATACGGAGTAACTTTCTGTCTGTATTGGTTGAAGTTAATGTAGAATATCATTTCAGCTATTCTTTTCGTATAAATTTATATTTATTTTAGTAATTCAATATTTTAAGTATTATTTTTTTTATAAATCAGTAGAATTAGCCAATTCAGTCGCTTCAGCCAAACATTCATAAATTTCAGCAGAATCAACCAATTAAGTCAATTGCAGTGCTACCAAACAGATTATTAATTGTTTTAAAAACAAGCTTAACTATTACTCCCTCCGTCCCGCAGTTGACTTCACATTTTGACTTCACACAGATTAAGAAAATAAATTTGACTTTACTGTGGGGTGCACTGTTTTGCACTGTTTGAACACTGTTTGAACACTGTTTGACACTGTTTGGACACTGTTTGACACTCTGTTTGGCACTGTTTGGCACTCTTTTGATGTAGATAATTTACCAAATAAGGAAAGTATTGAATTGTGAAATTAATTCTGGGACTGCCCAAAAAAGAAAGTGGGAAGTTATTTACGGGACGGAGGGAGTATGATGTTATGATCGGCCTAAGGCTTCCATGACAAAATAACTAAATGAGATAATTTGAATAAATTTCGAATGCTTTTTTATATGTATATGATTTGATGAGGCCATTGATGGTAACTATAATGTTATAAATATTTGATGATTAAATTATTACTTAAGAGTGTTATTTACGGAGTATTTCCTAACATAGAAATAAAGACCCTTAATTGGGATGTCTTTGGCCTAACATTTTATGGGCATTCGGGTGTTACTCCAATTAATCTCGGTCCCTCGTCCAGACTACCTGACGTCTCTCTTGCACCATCCGACTTGTCATCTTTAGCGTCTCAATTGGTATTTTCTACACCAAATGTTGCTAATGTTGTTACTAATCATCTAAATGTGGTTGAAGATTATCTCCCATGGCAGACTCAGTTTGAGTCTTTTTTTAGTTTCTCGCACTTTACTTGGGATTCTAGATGGATCCATACTGATTCCGTCTCCATTTACGTTTGATTTGGCACGTCGTGAGACACTGAATCCTGAATATCACCATTGGTTAAAAGTGATCAAACGGTTCGGTCATGGCTATTTGTCACTCTCTCGCAGGGCATTTTAATTGATGTGCATGACCTTAAATTTTCATCTCAAATTTAAGAACGTTTTCAAACTCGTTGTATATCTGCCTGCATTGCTCGATTCATGGAATTAAAACATTCTTTATCTCATATTAAAAAGCAAGAATCTCGGTCCATGGATTATTAATTCCCCAGTTAACAACTGAGAGTTAAAAGAAAATGTTGTTCTTGGTCTTGGCATGAAATACGATGAGTCTTTGATAACCGCCCCACTTATTTTCTGGGGAACGCTACACTTGATAGCTTGAGAGTTAGGGGCGGACCGTAGTACAGACCCAGGGGGGCTGCCGCCCCCCCAACAATTTTTTTTTAGTATATATATATATACAAAATTTTTATTTTTACCCCCCAACATTTAATTCTCGCCCCTCCAAGAAAAATTTTGAACCCCCCCAAAAAATATTTTCTCCCCCAAAGCATAGCCCACTCGCAGAAAACCAATTGTTTAAGAGTCAAAGAAATAGAAATTTTACAAGTAATATTATATCAACTCACTCCAAAATTTATTCCCCATTAACCCACCCCAAAATCTAATCCCAGCCCACCGCCCAGACCAAACTAATGAAAAACATGCGCACCTAGAAGAAAGAAACGGAAAGATCGATTATTTTTAAATGATTGTCCTTATGGCTACTATGTTCATTGCTTAGCACATCAGTTGCAATTAGCATTGGTTGCTGCTTCTAGAGAGGTGAAATATCACTACAATAAAACGGATTTGTAGAGGCATGCCATAATTGCCTCAAAAAATAGCAAAGTAGCCTCTAATGACTTCTGGAGGCAATTTAGTGGTTGCCAACAAATAGTCCGTCGCAAAAACGGTGGTTGCCTCTAAAAACACCCTTTAGAGGCAAAAAGAATGTGCTTCCAAAAAGATACATTTAGAGGCAACCATAGCCTTTCGCCTCAAAATATCATTAGAGGCCACCACGTTATGTCGACTCGAAATGTCATTAGAGGCCACCACTTTATGTTGATCCAAAATGCTATTAGAAGCAACTAGTTTTAATGACTCAATACATTATTAGAGGCACTATTTTATACTGCTTCTAAAAATTATTAGATGCAACTTTAAATGTTATCATGGAAACCCTTTAGAGGCAGCCTTAGTGCTGAACTAGAGATATTATACTACATTGCATCGATATAATAATTATGGATACCTAATTCCCTCATACTTCTATAAAATATTAAAAATACACTAACATTCAACATAAATACCACAAATAAACAAATGCTTCCATGACAATGTAACACAGAATATCAATATGAATATTCATTTAATAACTGAATGTCTTAACTACATAAACTATTTGTTCAATCTAATCTATCTCAAATCCGTGTGAAGCAAAACTAACTGGATCTAATACAAAATGAAGATGAAACAACATAGATCTAAAAGTTTAATGACAACACATTAACCTAGAGAGATCATTCATAATCATCATGTTCCTCCTCCTCATCATCATCATCATCATTATCATCATCATCGTCATAACCATCATGCTCATCATCATCATCATGCTCATCATCATCATAACCATCATCACTACTCTCTTTAGTATGCTTCCTGCCAACCTGTAATTTTGAAATTTAATTGTATGAGTATTTGTAACTTTAAAAAGTTATTAATAAAAAATAATGAAAAAATGATGCAATACCTCTTTCGCAATCAACTTAGAAAAATCACTGCCCATAAGGTTGAAGAATTTTTCCATAACACCTTTCATAACTCGGACTTCATTTTTAAAATTGTTCACCTCCTTAGTCAGCATTTTATTTTTCTCATTAGCTTCATTTGCTTCTTTCTTAGCTTCACTCGCCTGCTTCTTGGCCTCTTCGGCTTCTTTACGCAACTTCTCCCCTTCGCTAATAGATCCCAACAGTGATGTAATAGAAGGACTTACTCCCATGCCACGATCACGCCCAGATTTACCTTTACGTTTGACTGTTTTATAAATTTCTTCATCAGTCATATTAATTTCTCCTATCTCACGTTGCTCTACAAGTTTCTCCATTTGTGACTGCAAAAAAAGTTATATGCAATGAGTATACCAACAAAAAGTTATATATATAAGTATGCAACACTATGCAGCTTGTGTAACTTTAACAACCAATCTGATAATCACTAGGCAGCTAGTGTAACTTAAAATGCTTTGCCCCTTCAACTAGCATACAAACAAGGTTTAATAAATCATCCGTTAAAAACCAATAGGACTAAAAAACAATCGGAATTATGTTATGCACTTCCTTAACTAGCATCACAATTATACTAGTCAATCCTATAGAAAGGACTCTTGAGGTTGCAGAGCGAGTATGGAATGGTTTTCTAATAATATTTGGCTGAAAACAATGTTTTCTTCAAAGGAATTCTACTTGAACCTAGCATGGTTACCCTAGGGGCTGAACATAAACAGAAGGTTTCCCCAGATAACATTGTCAAGTACACTCTCACTATGCTGAAAAGGAGAGTCCTTCCCACTGTTCCTGGGATCACAAAATCATGTTGTTGTCTGGACGAAAATCTGAAGTGGATGCAACATTGAACCTGAATGCACTCTAAATCAATGTCTTGAAGACGTGGCAAGGATGACCTGAGAATGTGAAAGCTGCACAAAGGCACTACTGAGTCGTGCAAAAACAAACTCACAGCCGGCTCTACTAAGAAGAAAATATTTGTGAAGGGTTATACCTATTAAGTGTGTATCCTTAATACAAAATTTGTTACAGAAAGCTTTAAACTGAATGTATCTTTGCTACTATATCCCCTAAATCCAATACATGTACAATGCGATTCCCATTTCTCATACTAAAACTCGCATAAAGTAAAACTAGCTTTCTGAACGAGCACAATTCAACCCAAGATTTCAGTGATGTGTGTTAGCCTACAAGTAAACAAGCCTATAGTTTCAGTGATGTGTATTAGCACATGTACACTTTAAATAATATGACATCAATGTGTATCTAAGTGATGCACTCATTTCATAAACTCAGTACGATTCAACATATGTACTTTGTTATTTTAAAAAGGCAGAAAATCATGAAACCACACTGCTAAGATTTCAATAATCATCAAGTTTGAGTTTTTTGAATCATGTACAAATTTGACCTGATAAAAGTTAAAGCACACTGATAAAAATCAGATTAATTTATTGACTATAAGTGAACGATACTCATTTACCATAGTTTCCTTTGCAACATTAGTCACCGGGGTTTCATCACGTCTAGTATGAGTCTTCTTGTACACTTGCAGCATGCCCGACATTACATGGTCAATTTGAAACTAATATGAAAGAAGTATTGTTTTAGCGGATAAATAATTAAACAATATAAAAATAAATCACAATAAATAAATTTTTATTACCATCTCTTCTACCACTTGAGCAAAACTCTTTGAACCAGCAGTGTGTCCAGCATCTAAGTATGAACGGTTATCACGATTTCGTTTACTCATTTTCTATAACAAAAAAAATGTCATTATTAATAAAATAACTTTTTATTACACATAGACCAAATATATTATTACTGATAGGGGTGGAGAAAAAAGTCTTGAGTGAGAGTGGTAAATAAATACCATGATTGTGGGTTTTGATAAAATAATACTGTTAGTGCTTTCTGAGAATATAACAAATTTAAAAAGTTAAGTGCAACCTCATTCAATAAAAGTGTAGTTGTGAAGTGTATACTTAGCTAGAACAGTAGCATAGAGTGAAATATGTGTTTAAACAGGCACACAAACTAATTACCTGAAAGTCAGGAGACCCAAAGTACTGGACAAGCCACTTCCAGTCTTTTTCCTCAACACGAGGTGGCTTATTCTCTTTTTTTAATCGTTCAGCATCTGTTTCTTCTGTGTCATAATAAGTACTTTTCAACCTTGCTCTATAATTTCTGTATTTCTTATTCAATGATCGCATCAGAGTTTTGTGTCGCTCTTTTTCTAACTTTTCACGATGCTCTTCATCTTCAACATCATCAAGACCAATATCAAATTTTTCCTTGCAAAATGAAGTGGTTCTTAATAGCAAAAAGGAATGAATATATAGAAGAGAAATACTTTATAGGTGGACTAAATAATTTTAATACCAGAATAAGCTGCCACATTCTGTCTTTATTCGTTTTGGGGATTTCTGAAAAGTCTTTCACATTATAAAGGGGTGCATTTAGAGGATCTCGGACAAGGGCACGACAATAGTTTGCCAAGCTAGCTCTATTCACACCGACAGGTTGGCCCTTTATGTTAAAATCTACCCTTTTCCTCTCACCCGGTCTCATTCTAGCCATATAAAGATTCCGCGTAGGACCTCTAGGAGTTTTAGTTTTGTACACTTTTTTCTTCCGATGAACTGTCGAAAGATAAAAATAATTCATTGAGCAAACATCGCTTTAATGCATAAATCATGTTAATGGAATAGAAGTACCATTATTCATAATGAAGTTAAGTAGTTAACTGACAACAAAATTAAAAATGGAAAAAGTCATACCTTGAGAAATAACTGTTCCTCCTATGTTATTAGCATCAGGTAGATCCATGTCATAGCTAGTCCTCTTAATTAGACTGGTATTATCTTCTTCTTCATCTAAGTATACATTCGGATACCAAAACAGGAAAATACAAGGAATAAATTGTTTCCTAAAAAATGAATTAAAAAGTATAATATGACTTTAATTTTTACATATTGTATACCTTTATCTGTATCAGAATCTTCATTGTTCGTATTATATTGCTCCTCCATATCTACAACATTGACTCTCCAATAAATATATAGTAAATACTTCGTTTATAGTAAATATAATAGCAGTGGTCCTCGATTGAAAATTAAAAATGAATTGCATACCCTCATCAGAAGCAATGTTGTCTTGATCCCCTTCTACTTGTTCTGCACTACTAATGCCTAGATCATGTATTTGACCTTTATTATTCATGGACACGTAAATTATATGAAAAGTTGATAAATAATTTATGTATATATTGAACCTTGTTGAACACCTTTAATAGCAGTGGATACTATTGCTTGCTGTTTTTTGTTCATTCTAAACATCCTTGCAAGTGACGCTGGTGGAATGAAGTTTCGTTTTTTTGCCCTTTCTTTCACTGGTACACTTTGGGTCTAGAATGTTAAACATAAAAGTGAGTGATGGATATTTCTAACAACATAAAAACTACAAATAAAAATAACTAAACTAACATAATCAATAATGGAAATACCTTTCTCGCAGCAGAATTTGTAGCTTCATAATTATCACCGAGAACATAATCACCATTTTCCTTAAAGCGCTGCTTAGGTTTCAGTTTTCTTCTCTTTTCGTTGGTGTTATCAACCAGACTACTCATTGAAGCAACAATACGTTTGATACCCAAAGACTTCATTTTGAACTTATTAGATTCAATATTCTTGAGTCTTTGCTGCTCATACTCATTCAGCGGCATCTCAACCTGTTTAGTATGTACATTTCTTCTAATAACTCTTAACATAATAAAGCTATTACCATAGAAAAAAATACTTTTTAACATATCACACTATACAATAATCAAATAAATGCTAAAACTGAAATGCTCATGCTTAGGCAATATACTGAAACTTTAAACTCTAGTCAATATATAGATTTTGAAGAGAATAAAACAAAATAAGTGAAATAATCAATACTATGTTGATATATGGAAAAAAAGGATCCATGTTAAAAGCCAAAAGGGCGTCTATATATTTTCTAGGTCAGTTTATGGATATGTATCATCCATATTATCAGTTCCATTTGGCTGCTCAGCGACATCGTAGAAGTTCCTTGGTTTGATCTTAACTACTACCTTCCAGTTCGGCTTCACAACATCATCAACATAGAAAACTTGTTCTACTTGAGAAGCAAAAACAAAAGGATCATTAGCTAACACTTTTCTTGTGTTAATACTAGTGAACCCAAAAAGATCAGTAACTATCCCTCTGCCCTGACTATGAATATCCCACCAATCGCATTTGAACAATGTCACCCGATTCCCTCCGATATATTGAACTTCTATGATTTCTTTCAAGACTCCATAATACTCAAGATTTTCTGCTCCACTCTCCCCCTAAAGAAAACCATTTTTAAAGCATTTTCTTCACCATAAGTTTGCAAATTGCCTCATGCCTAGACTGATTTTTAATTCATGGTTGGTTTGCGGGACACTATGACATGTTCACGAGAATTTTGACATACTCTTGACCAAAAACCAAGACCTATTTCTTGAAACCTTTTAGTTCAAAAAAATCTGGTTTTAAGTCAACTTTAGTTTAAGTAAAACTATGAACTCAACAAGCAGTAACTTTAGTTAATTACTCAAAACAAATTTGGATATGATTTTTAGGGCTATAGTGGTCACTCATGATTCATAGAAGCTCCTACCCGATAGATTTGACGAAAAATAAGATGTACTTCACTCAATATGACTATTTCAGAAACACGCAATATTCACATAGAGCAACTGCTTTAGGGTAGAAGAGTATGGCTAACTTATCAATTTAATGGTATTCAAGATCTCAAACTAATATATTTTCTTTATTCTACAAAGGATTGCATACTGGAATTCTAGAATTCCCTTAACATATATGTATTGTGAGTCCTTTTCTTGTCCAGCCGGCCTGACGGGAACCGCCGTCCGGCCGAGGGCATTTCGGGCACTTCCCTATAGAAGTTTTTGATGAAATTTTTTGAGCATGTTCTTCATGAAGTCTAGTTTATCCATACCAAATTTCAGCTCAAAATTCGATCGGGAAGGCATTCAAATAATTTTTTGGAGTTGACTGCGTCAAAGTATACATATAAAAACCCAGTCAACTTCAAAAAATTATTTGAATGCCTTCCCAATCGAATTTTGAGCTGAAATTTGGTATGGATAAACTAGACTTGATGAAGAACATGCCCAAAACATTTCATCAAAAAATTCCACCGGGAAGTTCCCGAAATGCCCTCGTCCGGACGGCGGTTCCCTTCAGGCCGGCTGGACATGAAAAGTCCTCTATGAAATGTAGTATGAAACTGCTAAACTGCTAAAAATGGATATGCTACTTCAATTCAGGATTTGAGACTACAAAATTTCAGGGGAACTTAATTCCATTTCAGGGAAAAAGACACCATTTTTGGCTGAAATTGTTCATAAGGATTTGTGTAAAACCATATAGGTTCATACAATTCCCAACTTCTTTTTTTGAAATTTAGACTCGCAACCTAAAAAATATTAAATCAAAAAAATACAGTAGAAAACCGTATCATGTAGGGTGTTAGCTCATCGGATTCCATGCTTTCATTATTAACTAGGAATTTAATTAATTAAATTCTGGACAAATCATAAATATAGAGTATTTATCAAGCATTCAAACAAAGATATGATAAATTTAAAGAATTTGCCCTAAATGGGACTAAAACATTAAGTAAATTTCAAAACAGGACTACAAGTTTATAATTTCCAAAATAGGACTCCGGATTACATTTTTGCCCTTCTTCTAACTAAACCCAAAAGCCCAGCTCATCTCCGTCAGATTCAATGACGACATCTCTCCCTTTGCATCGAACACCATCGACTAGCCTCCTTGTCTCTTCCCCTGCGATTTTTCTCACCACCATGGATCGCAGCGGCACACCTATTTGGTGATACCTGTTTGGTGATTTTCTGGCGAAACCAGGTAAGTTTCTAAGTTTCTTTTCCTCCTCTATCTTCAACCTTCTTCTTCTCATTCTCTTCCAGATCCTCTGCTTTTTTATTTTTTGATCTATCAATCTGTTAGTTTTCAGATTGTTAATTGAACAATTTCACTTTTTACAGTTTGATTTCAACAAAGCCCCGTTAATCATAAGTTTTTACTCAAAGAACACGAATTTCAACGAAGGCCAATTGATAAAAAATATACTAGTATTACAATTTTACCTTTTTTTATCAATTTGATTAATCTTGAACATAAGAATGTTGTGGTCACTGATTCTCAGAAAATGCCACTTTTAATCATGAAAATGTCATAATTATTGGTTATTTATCAAAATGCCACTTTTATGGTTGAGAATGTCATAATTATTGGTTATTTGACAAAATGTCACTTTTATGGCAGTACATTTATCAAACTGACAATCTCACTTTGAAATGCCATTGCATCTGTAATGCCATATTTTTAGCATTTTTGTCAAATGATGTCATTTTTTAGACACTAAATGTATATTGAATGTCACTTTTATTTTTTCATTTTCATCTCATATTTTAAATTTTCATAAAAAATTGAATGTACAAAAATATGAAATTGAAAATTTCTTTATTTTTATAAAAATTCTATATTTTCACAATCTAAAAATGCTACTTTTCTATACAAAAATGCCATTCAATATTAGTTCTTGGCATTTTCTATATCTGAAAATGCCATTCAATATACCTAAAAATGGATTCTCAAATATATGAAGTTGGAGTTGAGAAATTAAATATAAAAAAAACATTGGAATTGAACCAGACCTAATCCTAGATGTACATTTGAATCGTGATAAAGTTGTTGGCTTATAGCGTAGCTAGTGTGGAATAAGTGATCATCTCACAGGATTTGTACAACAGTGATCTCACCAGATGTATATATGCAGCGGTGGTCTTACCGGCGACGATGGCGGCGTCTTCATTGGGCAGTGGCGGCGGCGGCCTTGCTAGGCAGTGGCGGCGGCGGCCTTACTGGGCAATGGCAGCGGCGGCCTTGTTGGGCCTTGCTGGGCAGTGGCAGCGGCAGTCTTGGCGTTAGTGGCTGGAAAAAAGGGTATGCGTGGTGTTGGTGGTCTGGAGGTCTCGCTGCAAGGACTCATCGATGCAGATACAGGGGCTTTTATTTCAATAAGGGCAAATTTGTCTAATCATTAATTAAGAGTCCTATTTAAGGAAGAATAAACTTAGTGTCCTATTTTTGCAAATTTAGGATGTTTTAGTCCCATTCGGACAATTCTCTCATAAATTTAAGGATGAATATTACGACCTTGTTGAGAAGCGTGAGTTAAATGATATCTGGAGGAGATGATGAAGATTGAAGAAGAATAGTGAGATCAAACGCCAAGCTTCACGATGCTTCCCAAATCGGTCTCTGCTTGATGCGGAAAAAAGGCACTCCTGTCCTGATTTGGGCTAGGGTTATTCTCTCCGATTTTGCTCTCGCTCCTTCAAAAATCGCTTCTACTCCTGCTTCGCCGTTCAGGTCTGGTCCTCTTTACCCGCTTCAAAATCCTCCCTCTGGTTTGCGTGGAAGCAAGTTCTAACTAAAATAATGGGATAACTCCTCTAAAGCTGCGGTAGGGTTAGAAAGAAGTGGCGAAGTGCGGGAATAGTTAGCGGCAAAGCAATACTAATTTGGATTTGGTTAAAAGTATCCAATTTTTTTAAAACTAAAATCCAAGGCGGTTAATGAAAATTAGGGAGCCGGTAATTAAAAAGAAAAAATTACGGATTATTAATTAGATTAGGATAACCAACTTTAAAAACTAAGGATGTTTTTACTTGGATTGTAATTTGCTGATCTGGTCTGGTCTGAACTGATTTGGTCTGATTATTTCAAGTCTCTTTGTATTTTTATAACTATCCAAGTCTGGTCGATCTGGTCTGGGACAGATTACAGTCCAAGTAAACCCATCAATTATAATTCAATTATATTTCACTTGCATTTTACATGTATATATAGAATAATCTTCTGGTCAGGAATTTCCAATTCAATTTGAAGCTAAAATTTGGAGGGGATAGACTTTAATTAC